CTGGGCAGGAAGGTAATCTCTATAGTAGGCCTGGGAGCAGTCATGACAGTAATGCGCCAGATACTTGTGACTACTCTAAAAGAGCCATCTGGGTAGAGATTTGTAAAATAGCCTATATTGTGGCTATTGACAAGAAATATTACTTGTACTTTTTTTTCCCCAAGATTTCATCTTATATAAACATCTTAGTTATTAGAGAAGGAACAATAAAGAAATGAAAACTGGTGAAATGCTGAAAAGGGTTGTTATTGAGATATAGTGACATAGTTGAGCTGCATGTTTTTATAAAAAAAGTCCCTAAGACTTGCATATAATGTTATTTCTGGAAAGAAATACTTCTATTCTATATCTTTTCCATTAGTTGCTTGGATAAAGAGATATATTTGGTCCGCAGAAACTTTTTCCTGAATTCTCAAAACTTTAACTGAAGTTTTAACACATCAAGCTTTGAAATTCTCGAAGAATAGTAAAACTGAAGTTTTAAAATTGTGACTAAATTGAACCATTCCCGTTTTAAATATGCAAAATAAAATTTAAAATGTCATAGAAGAAATTTTCATCCAAATACACACACATGCACATACATACATCTATGTGTGTGTTTGTATGTGTATATTTAGTTATTTTTCTGTTCAGAAATGTTATTTGACAGACTGATAGAAGTTACTTTTGAAGATTTCATCCAATTTGAATATATTTACCAATTCCTTTAATATGAAATATCATAAATCCCAATGATTTTGGATTCATTTTTTATCACAATAGAAGATAACCTTTATTTGATTGTATACTAGTTATGCAAAAGTTTTATTTATCCAAAATTGTCTTTCGATAAAAGTATTTTACTTTCCGAATCGCACTTATAGTTTAGGACAGGATAGTTGTGGATATTGTAGCATTTAAACCATCTCTAATTTCAGGTCCTGGAACACTGCGAATCGGGGCAGGAGTAAATGGCAATGACAGATTTACAGGTCTGATGCAGGATGTGAGGTCCTATGAGAGGAGACTGACCATTGAAGAAATTTATGAACTTCATGCCATGCCTGCAAAGAGTGATTTACACCCCATTTCTGGATATCTGGAGTTCAGACAGGGAGAAACCAACAAATCATTCATTGTTTCTGCAAGAGATGACAATGAAGAGGAAGGAGAAGAATTATTTATTCTAAAACTAGTCTCTGTATATGGAGGAGCCCGTATTTCTGAAGAAAACACTACAGCAAGATTAGTAATACAAAAAAGTGACAATGCCAATGGCCTGTTTGGTTTCACAGGAGCTTGTATACCAGAGGTAAGTAGTGAGCTTGGAGAATTTTGGAGTAAAAAAATTCATTGTACGTGGACTTTTTTTTGGACTGGGCTTTCTTTCATTTGGTAAGATTGCCTGAGCATCTACTCCAAGTCCAGAAGTATGCTAGGGCCAGTGGTTGCAAATATAAATTACAAGGTTCCTGCTCTTATGAGTTCATAGTTCAAATCAGCTTAATGAGCTGATAAAAGTAATGACAAGTTAGCCAATGAAACTTTAGCAATTAGGTTTAAAGTTCATGCTCTTCAAAGAACATGAAATTATTCTACACATATAATTTACTTTTGGCTACTGTTTTGGATACCATGTAAGTAAATTAAATAATACATATTGAAAGCTTATATGAATAACTGGAATTGCAACTTTATTAAAATATGATTTTTTTTGTATTTTTATCATGTGTGAGATGTACTTAAATAGTTTTTACAATATTCTTTCATGTTAGGTGTAAATGCCTTTCTTATCAACCATCCTGGCCAACTTAATTCATTAGGCCATTTTACTGTGCTTATCAGTTCTTTCCAAGTTTTCAAAGATTCGTAATCATCTTGGTTTCCTGTGCAGTAATGCGAGAGCTCTCACAGGTGTGTGAGACAGCAACAGCTCAGTGTGTATGAAAGGATGCCAAGGAACAAGAGAGTCTTTCCCTTAGCAAGTTGATTCTAATAGGCTTCGAAAGGTGTATGTGTAAACTGAAATGATTAAAACAAATGAGTGGGTAGAGCTTGGAAACACATCTCAGTCATAGGCTTATTGTACCTTGAATTGGGATGCCTGGCTCTCTGGAGTGACTTAGTGCCCCTTTCGGTCTTTGATTTGGTGACAGTTACAAAAAATCTTCAAACGGTAGTCTTTCTGTACATCAGAATATCCTAGACCAGGAAGGACAAACATCACACAAATTTACAACTTAAAAAAGAAATGTTTACCTATAATGATAATAAATATGTTTACCTATACCTTTAAATATTAATAGATATGCAGCCATCGAAGAACTTTTACATATTAAATTTAATGAACCTTTCTGATAATCCATAATATAGGTGCAACAGGTATTAATTATTACTCTCTCTAATGTATAGGGTTAGAAACTGAGGTTTAGAGGTCTGAGAAAATAACTAACCCAAACTGAATTAATGAAATAAGATCAAGTTGAATGCCTGATTCAGAGCTTGGCAATGACTAGTGCTTAATGAATATTAATTTTCCATTTTGTTTTACTGCTAGGATACAATGGGAAGAAGTAGAATTTGAACTCATGTCTTGGGACTTGTAACCTGTTACCCTCCCCTCTATATCTTTAATATCATCATTTCTATTTTTAAAAAGACAGTTGACTTTTATTAAGTTGTGAGAACCATTGTGGTGCCATGTAAAGTCAGATTCCCTCAGTTCTCTTCAAGATCTGGCCCCTGCCTATGACTCTGAACTCATCTTGTGTCATTCTCCCTTTTGGTCAGTGTGTTTTAGTCCAGCTTGCCTTGTTTCAGTTCCAATTTCATGGTATCAGCACTTGCTAGCCTCTTTATTTGGAACACTTTCATTCTAGGTCTTCATATTTAGTCGTTTAAATCTCAGCTCCAAAGACAGCTCAATGAGAACTTTCTTGTTTAAAATAACTGATTTCCTTCTCCCAACTTGTCACTCTATAGCCATTTGCCTAGTTTTAATTTTTTTGTAGCATTGGTCACACTCCCAAATTCCTTTTGGTATTTATAAGTCTATTTATTTACTGGCCATGCCCCTCCACCACAAAAATAAAAGAACGATAATGTATTATTGTTCATTATTGAATCCATAACACCAAGAATAGAGCATATTAAGTACTCAATAAACTTACGTTGAAACTTACGAATATATTTTAATATCCAGACATGAAAATGCATATAGCAGTTCAGATATCAAATACGTTTAGATTCAGATAAACTACAAAAACATCCAAACTGAAAAAAGAAAACAAAACCGCATTTTAAAAACCTGCCTAAAATGAGTAAT